AATTTTAGTTTAAATACAACTGGAAAACAGTTATTGTCTAAAACAAACTTAGACAACAGTTTCCACAATAGTTAATTAAAGATTAGTAAACTATTCCAGGCAACATTTTAATGAATCTAAGTTTAAAATCCTGCCTTGGTTTGGTCTTGGTATTTAAATAATCACCCAGTAAGAAATGTTGCTTGAGTTTACCCTCATCACTGGCATGCAAGTTGTCATTTTGTAGGCTAAATTCCCCCCAACTTTGGTTATAAACCATCATAGCACCATGCCAACATAGCCATCTAGTTGGTAGAGCTTGCTCCTTCTCCTTTATCTGTCTCCTAATAGCCAGAGGCAAAACTCACAGGACACATCCTGCAACAGAACATGATTGCATTCTCCCTGCTGTGCTGAGGAAGTAATTCATGAGCTACGTCAGGAAAGAGGCAGAGGGGCAGGGCACCCCTCCTAGGGGGAGTCCATCATGACAGCGGCCTCCAGATGGGCAGAGCTGGCAGCTTCCTTGCGCCCTGAGTGAACTGTGTGATCTCATGGCTCTTTGAGCCTGGGGACAGCACTGAAGGGCTTTATTTTCACTGCACCTGCCCTGTAAGCGACAGCATTGATTTCTGCTCCCAGAAGGCCTCAGTGAGGAGAACTATTCACTGAACACGCTGCCCTTCACATCACCCTGGAGGAAGGGGCTAGGAGTTCTCTGCCTCTCATGCCTACCGGGGGGGAACTTTTGTCTCATCTCTATTTTCCAGTGTATTTATTTTTGTAAGGTATTGCTCAGATCAGAAAGCCACACACAGCCTTTGGTGCTGGATCTGTAGGAAGTAATGCTACATAATATCTCATTATTTAAAATAATAATAATAGTAATAATAATAATAATAATGTGCTATTACCCTGTTCCTGTCCACTCATTCAATTTCTTATAACCAAAAGAAGCAATTCAAAGGAGCCTTCAAATGACACTTTCTCCCCTGTTCTTTACTGAAAGTTTCCTTTTTTTTCGGGGGAATAATCTGAATTAGTGAGAACAAGTGGCATTAATGACCCACAGAACCACAGAGCCAGGAGAGGTTTGTGAAATTGCCTCACAAGTTGCCAACTTGTGAAACTGGACATGTAAGTTCCAACCTTCCCAGATGGCTAATCTTTCATTCTATCTGTACAGATCTCTTGCGAGAACATCTTCCCAAAGTCACTTAATATAGTATCTTATGACTGATATTTCCAATTTTGTCCCACCTTTGCTCTCAAATTTGCTCCCTGCTATAGTGTGGGTGTTGAATGTCCTCCTCACACAAAAGGCCCAAGTGCTAAAGGCTGTCCCCAGGGTGGCACTGTTAGCAATGCTCAGACCTCATGGGAGGTCCTTCAATCCTTTGGGCTATGCCTCTGAAAGGAATGATGGAACCTTAGTTTTTTCCTCTTCTTCCCTTTTGCTTCCTAGCCTTAAGGGAAGTGGTTCTGCTCCCCCATGTACTCCTACCATGATATGCTGCCTTGCCACAGGCCCAAAGAAATCAGCTATGGTCTGAAACCTCCTAAACTGGGAATTAAACATAATATTTTCTCCTTAGAAGTTGACTATTTGAAATATTTGTTATAGTAAGAGAATTTGAACTAACACACTCTCCAATTAGCCCAAATGAAGTTGGATTTTTTTCAGGTGCTGTAGACTAGTAGAACATGCCTTCAACCTCTGCCTCCACCGTTACTTCACACACTTGAACACAGTCAACACATCTCTCTGTGGCAAGGTACTAGTGCTGTGGATAGTTGTTCTTTCCTTATTGTAAAATTATAGGAGTTAAGAATTAAGATGAACGTTAGAGATGATTTGCTCCAACCTCTGTCCTGTTCAAGAATCTATCTACGTATTCCCCAAGGTTCCAAACCTTATTTAGATAAGGATAGGTTGTGTCAGAGGACAAGATGGTCCATGGTAAAGCAACTTATGCTGTAAATAATTTCATAAGTTAAAGTATCCCTCCTTGGGCAAAGTTTGTCTCCCAATAACTTCTACTGGGCCTCAAAGGATCTTTTGAGAAAGATACAGAATAAACTGGAGCCACTTTCTCATAGGAAGGCTCCAGATGTTCAGCAATTCCTATTTCTTCTCCTCCTCCTTTCCTAACACCAGCCTCATAAGTAGTCACTCTGATTTCCCTTCACTTACTCACAGATCTGAGGATTCCATGGCACTTCAGTATTTATGTTTTCCTGCCTATTTTTGCCTTTACATTGCAATAAAACTACATAAATCCCAAGATCACAGCTGAAAAGCTATGTGTGAGATTTAAACACATGAGGGATAAAATACAAATACCTCCAAGAGAGTGAAAAAAGGTATCTCCACTTGAAAAGTAGAAACTCAACAATAAATTATATCATTTTTGTCTCTAAAATTCAATGTGACCAGAATATCCTTTCAGGTATAGGAAGAAAAAATATAGCTCATTCTGCTATTTTTTTCAACTGAAAGTTCAGAAAGGAATTAACCTTTATTAATATTCCCTGTAGAAAATAGTATGTGTATACTTTATAAAAATAAACATGCTTAGATTGGGGATTCATGCTGGGATTTCCTGAATTATAAGACACACTATTAAAAATATCTGGAACGCTGTTCTCCAGCTTAAACTACGTTGAATAACTATTAACTCATTAACATAAATTGCAAATTTTTGTAAGATTGTGTCAATAAAAAATAGCAATGTGTGTTAGTGTATTTTAAACTGAATTAACTGTCTTGATTAAATCAAATAAAAGTCGTTTGCCTAGATAGCCCCAAAATGAGATAAACGAAGGAAAACTTTACTTAACTGGCTTATAAAATTGTAATAATAAAAGATATATTCTAATACTAATATAATCTAACTAGAAATCATTGGTTTTCTATTTTAATGTTGTCAAGGCAATTATAATAGTTGCCTGAGTCAAGAAAACATATTTTCTTAGAGCCTGTGGGTGATTATTCAGGGGGCTGCTCACCCACCCTGCAGCCATGGTGCATGCAGCACATATAGACTGCTCGTGTCCAGGTACACAACTCAGTAAATCGGGATACTGTAAATCTACGCTAGGAGATTTTTTTTGTGATCTTGAGGTGCTCATGTTTTTTACCTTTCTCTGTCCTTAAAATGGGGACAATGGCATGAAAGTGCATACAAACATCTGATTTCAAAGAACAAAGCAAAAAATAAAAATGTAGGAAATAAGAGAACGAGCTTAAGAAGTCTGAGATAGAGCCCATATGGGGAGATGAGCCAGCTACAGTTATTTGAAAAACACTTATTTCTCAATTTGCCAGAGATATTTATGCATCACAGTGGCAGTAATATTGTAGCAAATCATCCTCAAAATGGGGCAGCGGACTGCAATATGAAGGAAAAATAAACACTCAGAATCGTATTATTTAACTATTAAGTGAATTTGCAGCACATTTTAAAGAATCATACACACACACACACACACACACACACACAAATCCAAAGAACTGAATCAATTTTTCTGGGATTTTTGAAAGACAGGCTCTTATTATTGGAACTGATGAGGAAGAGGTGACCATTGCTCCTGCTTTGTATATACAGTATTTTGATAAATGATCAGCAACTTCCTTTTTGTGTATAGTTCCATAAACTACTGTTTCTCTCTCCTGTTTCCTGTGATGCCTTTTGTCAGTGGGATGAAGGCAGACAAGCAGACAAGCATTTAGGGTCTTGGTGAGCTTCACTGTCCTCCTTTTCACCTATTACCCTGAAAGTCTGAGTAACAAACATTACCAGCGCCAATGTGACTGCCGCCCGGAAATTCTCGGAAGAAGCTGCCTGCCTTGAATCCTAACTAGAAAAACCAAAGACTCCTGCTCAGACTCTAAGGGAAGATGAATAACATAAATGCCCTTCTCCCCTGGAAAAAAAAAAAATCTAATTATATGTGTATAGATTTTTTTAAAGGTTGGCCCTGAATACTCAGAAATATATTAAAATCATATTTACCTTCAATAGGAAAATTGAAAGGGAAATGATATTCTGAGACAAAAGGCCAACTCTGAAACTCCAGAAATGGTGAACGTTAGAAAACACAGGTGTGCGATGAAAGGGTATCTGAGAAATACTGACGGCATCTTCCTCACCGGATGGCCAGGGAGAGTTCTAAAGCCCAGAGCCACCATCCTTTCCCTGGTCCTTGCTGTGTCTTCTCAGGATAGAGGTGCTCCTTCTCTCATCATGTGCTTCATATAAAATCTTTTTCAACGTGAGGATTTCATTGTTGATGGTGGCTATGGATTTGCTATAAATTTGTACTACAAACTTCAACAATTGGGAATATGCTATCATTAATAAAACTGATATAAATAATATGGGACAGCAATACAGAGTACTAATAAGAACATGCATCCTGGGATGAAAAGGACTTGTCTTCAAATTCAGGGTCTATTACTACTAGCTGTGTGCAAATTATTTAAACCTTCTCAGATTCCGTTGTGTACCCATAAAATGGAGTACACACACCTACCTATTATTCAAACCTCAAAAGGAGGTTTCCATTCAATATGAAAATGTGTGTATAAGTCACAAGCCTATTCAGTGGATGGCGGCTATTAGCATGGAATCGAACTTGGGACCTCACACTTGCCAGGCAGGCACTGCGCCACTGAGCTAAATCCCTGGCCCTGCATGTTTTTAATTTGTTTGTAAATATTCATCATGTCATTTTCTAAAGACTTTCAAAGGAAAACAATGTCTTCAATAGTATCAAGGATTCCACTTAGGACCACATCCTGCTTCCAGGACCTACTCTGGCTCTTTATGAGTCTATTACCTTCATTTCCAAACAGTAATACAAAAGTAGTGAACTCATATTGATGAATATTGTATAGTTTATCATGTCCTCATGCAAGTTTTAAGCTACTGGATGCCTGCATAACTTGTTAACTGGCCAGAGAAATCAGTACTGATTCAAATCCCAAGTCTATGAGATTTTAATAAAATAAGTTCCACCAAGGTGGTTCTTGGATTTAAATATTAAAAACATAAAGGTAATAGAAACTTTTCCCATAAGTTATAAAAACAAACATCTTGACTGTGGAGACTCCACATCTTACAATACCTACATTGCACATTTATTAAGGCAGAAAGAAAAGATTTGTTAACAAGATACAGAATTCCCAAAGAGGGGCAACTGGTGTTTGCATGATGGTGAATACAAGTTTTGATGCCGGTATTTGATACTTGTTCTTGCTGTGTGACAAGTCACACCAAAATTTAGGCACTTACCAACAACATACACCTCACAGTGTCTGCAGACAGACATCTGAGAGCTGTGTGGCTGGTGACTGTGACTGGAGGTCCTCCTGGAGGCAGAGTCAAGGCTCGGAGCAGGGCTGCAGGCTCATTAGAGGGCTCGACCCAGAGGAAAGAGATCTGCTTCCAAGATCCCTTCTGTGGCTGTTAGCAGGGATCTTAGTTTGCTGCTTCTTGAGAGTCTCCAGAAGTGGCCTGAAATGTTCTCCATACAGTCACTGGCTTCCCCCTATAGGAGAGAGAGAGAGACAGGGAGAGAGGAAGGGAGGGAGAGAGAGAGAGAGGCACCAAAGCCAGTCTTTTATAACCTAATGTAGAAAGCAACATGGCGCTACTTCCTTATGCTCCGTTAATAACACGGACAACTCTGGTACAGTGGGTGTGAAAGAAATGACACAGGGTGGAAAACCAGGAAGTGGAGTTATCATGAGCCGTAACCATTGACTGTGGAACAGGCTTTGTCTCTGCTTTAAAACTGCAGGATGCTGGGGGTTTGCTCTGGCCAAGAGAAGGCAGCCAGGATCATGATTGTGGGAAGAGTCTTAGAGAAAAAAATCCAATGGAAAATTTATTCACCAATATTTAACTGTGAAGCCATTTATGGAGACTCATATTTTCATTATGCTTCTATTTGGTTCCTCTGACTTTTCTAGACGGGAACCTGTAATTTGGAGAACTGTACATTCATTGGATGGTTTTTCCATGTGAAATGAAAGCAAAGATGATTTGGGGAACTCAATTTTTTATCTATAGTTACAGCTGTCTCCAAAAATGTTCAATTTGTCAACAAATTTTGTCAGGTGCTAATTTTCAAGAAAAGTATGCTTGACCACAGAGTTTTGGAGCTGGCAGTGATGACCTAGAGACACATTTTTGAAGTGAGGAAAGGGTAACTGCCTTCCCCAGAGAACACTAAGAAATTCAGTAATGAAGGCCCAGGGGCACAATACTTACGTTTTATCCAGGGACAGCTCAAGGTAAGGATTTGCCAGCATACCTCACGAGACTTAGATTTCATTCATTCGACACTCAGTGAAGTCTTGGCCCCTGTGTTCCACGAGCTCTGGAAGTGGAAGGACAGGACCATTTGGATGAGTAGAGTCCGCATGTCCGGTGGGGAGCAGTTGGGGCTAACAGTGTTAGAATGCGATCACTTGCATTTTATCGGTGTCCGCAAAAACTGGGAGTCAATTACTAGGCAACTGCTTCCATTTTTTAGGGTGTTTGACAAGGTCAGGAAGAGCATAGCTAGGAAATACCACAAGACCTGCAAATATTGGCTTTGCACCCAAGGTTAGATATTTGAGGTCTAGATTGTAAATGATACTTAAAACCAACATGATCTGAGAGTTCTCGGATTTTCACTGTTGCCTGTACCTTCCTTCACTCATTAAACAAGTAATTACTGTCTACTCTGTACCTGCACCAGTCATAAAGCAGTGAAGAAATAACTACAGTGTGTCCCCATGCAAGCTTTATGAAGCTCACCGTTCATCCATCACCTTCACTCTACAGAAATGGTCACTCAGCTTGTTGCATCATCAGTCGCTTGATTTTCCAGTTCTAACTGCCATGATTGTCTCTAATGCTACAGGGAAGTGTAGACTTCAAAATTTAACAAAAAAAACCTCTGGCCTCAAAAGGTGAAAAAAAACAATGAACGTATTTGGTGCTGTCATGAGAGATCCTATAGAGCCACTGCTCCTTGAGGGAAGAAGCCCTTTGGGGTTTGTTTCCTTAACACAAAAATGTACTTGAGACATTACTCAGCCTAGCAGTGCCCTGGAATGAACTCTCATTTCCAGAATCTGTGATAAGCACATGCTCTTTCTTCCCTGGGCCATGAGAGACTGTCTGGCTTGGAAGGGAAATGTAGGTCACTTGAAGGAAGTAATAGCTTCTTGCTCATGGGTTAGTTCCCTGGGATGGTTTTCCCAGGGACTGACTTCTTAATGATCGAATAAACCGAATGCCAATTAGGAGAGAGCCATTCGCTCTCCATGAATACTTCCATTTCTTGTGACCTAGACCCTACAAGTCCCATCTATTTAGGGAGAATTAGAGGACAATGGATTGAGGACATTAATATTTCCCTCTTCACCTCCTGAAGGGTTCACATGTTTCAGGAAAAGGTGACATCAGTGTGAAATTTGCCCTTCTGAAGCCTTCAGAAACATTTCTCCTTATTTAGAGATTAGATTATCCTTCTTCCATTGTTTTCCTTTAGATTTTGTTCCTTTTCTCCTTTTTAGGGAAGGCCAGCTCACTATTTTCAAAAGGTGATGGACCATGTCAGGATTTAGAAAGTGAAAAGAAAGAGATTGGTTTGGATTTTCTCCTTCTCTTTGTGAGCTCAAAAGCTCAATAAACTTCGAATGGTGACTGCAGGTAGAGGGGTAGAGCAAAGCTTTTGTATCTTTAGAAAACCTAGGTTTCAGTTGGATTATAGAGGTAGTCAGGAGATAGGAGAAAAAGTTCAAATAGCACTTTAACTATTTTCCATGTCAATGGATATGTATCAACCATATTCCATTGCTCTAAGAATCAGCATGCTAAAGTATTGATAAAAAATTTTGTAGAGAACACAATGCAAGTTATCAAAAAATTGGATGAGTTTGTTGTAATGAAGATAGGACCATATATAGTTTATACTCAAGTTTATGGATTTTTCTGAATATTGAATAAATTGTCAAAATGGTACTAAAACTCCATGTGAAAGAGTCAGTCTAAACTGTTAATCTGCCTGATACATCTTTTTGCAGTTTTTAAAGACTCTAAGCAAAAAATTCCAGCTCATTCCAGCACTTCTATGGAGACCACTAGAACTCGATTATGTTCCTTTATGGAGTGGGTCTAATGTCACTTTTCTTTAGAATGATTTACAAATAACTCAGCATCCAGCATATTTAAGGAAGGAGGTAAAATCAAGATGAGCGGTTCTCATTGTGGGTTTACATAACACATGGGAATTTCTGTAGTCCGTGTGTACAGTGTGAAACTCAGTGACATCCACCAGTCAATATTTATGAGCATAGATGCCTCCCCAGTCTCTAATTTAATATGTCCTAGAAAAACAAAGTTGCCAGTCACCACTCAAGGGTTAAAATATGAATTTATTAAAATTTTCCAGTTTCAACCAGCTGGCCTCTTAGGAAAGTTGGAGTTTTGTAAGGGACGCTGCCAATCAGAGAGTTAATAAACTTGAATTTACACCCAGCTGTGAAGCTCATTCAGCTTTTTCATGAAGTTATTTTACACTCTTCATTTCTGAGTTCTTAGCCTCAGGCTCCTTTTCTCCTACCACAGAGTTGAGCAGATGAGAAATAACTGAGAAAGAAATGAAAGTTATTATGTGCATTAGGAGCTAAAGACAATGTGTCTAGCCAAGGTGAAGGAACAATTGGGGCAGGCATGGCACTGTCACTTGTTTGGTGTGATACTCCAACGTGGAAAAATACATGTCCTGTGATAACCTGATACCAAATAAATACCCACTGCTGCCCATCCCCCTTCCTCTTCATGACTTCTTGTTTGGGTCCACATATGTATCAAGGGAGAATAAGTTAATCAGCTAGGCAAAATTACCAAATTCTGCAAACACATTCACACTTCACATAGTGTGCAAGCTATTCGTTGATGGCGAACCTTTTAGAGCTTCCAGTGACAACAAATAGCCAGCTGCAGCACGCGTGCCATAGGTTTGCCTCGGACAGTATAGATCACAGACAACCATCCTCTATTGTAAAACCTATTCCCTCAGCAGGATTAAGTGAATTCAAATGACGCATTCATAATATGTTGTCTAAGGTTAAGTACTGTAAATTTCCTCATTGTAAAATAAACCCTGCTTCCAATATAAGGCATGCCACAGAACTACATTAGCCACCATTCCTCAGTTAGGCACCAAAAATGAGCAGATTTTGGGCATATAGGATTTATATAACTTTAAACTTTGGGGATTGAGTGTTCTTATTTAACTAGACATATTAATTTGATTAAATATATAAGAAAACTTTCTCCTGATACCCAAAGGACAGTATTTGCATTTAAAAAATTATCACAGCTTGTGAAATAATTGCAGCCACTGGGGCTGGATTTCTTTAACAATGTCCCCATTTCTCCTCTCTCCGCTGTTTCTCTAAGGACAATACACTTTCCCTGCAAAGTTTCCCATTGCGTTGCTTTCTACCATTTGCATCTTCCTATAAGGAGCAAGTTAGCTCATTAATACGGAACTTACAGAGAGGGTTCACTACCTATTGAACTAATTAAAACGTTTTTGAGTCAGGACAACGATAATAATGGGATTAATTATTGTAATTTGTGCAGCTTAAGTATATACACACACAGGCAATCTTTATTTTTCAATATTGCCGGTGGAAAATGAATTTCAGACATTAGGACCTGGGAGAGTCGGGAACTACAGCTGCCGGGTGAGCGCCCCTCCCTTGGTTCTGGCCAGCAGCCCCGACATCCCCGCACAAAGTAATCACAGATCACAGCGTTTAATCACTGAAAACAAGCACTCCAGAGGACAGCGGTGTCAATATCCCACTCTCTCATTATCTGTTTGGATTGCACATCCACACTGTCAGATAAACAGAGTGGAAAATTAAGATTAAAAATATGGTAATTTCATTTCAGGCAGCAGGCACCACTCACTGCCCCTATTATGCTATTGATTACCTCTGAATTCAATTTTTCTTTCAATGCAAACTTTAATCTGTTTGCTACCCAGCAATTCAACTCCCCAAGGGCTATTTGAGAGTAAGTAACCATTTAATCTGATGCTAACTGAAAAATCACCGTCCTTAATGAATTGTGTAAATCATTCAGCTCTAAAGCACCTTTGACTTCTATTTCATTTTTTATTTTCCACTCAATATAGGAAAGGATCGGCGTGTGAATAATTACAAAGTAGCAAGTATTTTTACATAGAGCAAATATGATAAAAACCCTATTATAGTGGGGCATGTGTAATGAACAGTACTTTTTAATTTCAAAATAGCTATTCATTAAAAAAGAATGGAAGATTAAAAAGAGAGGCTCAAAGCTCAAGGTAAAAGTTGATAGACATTGTAATTACATGGTTAATTTCAAAGATTTATATGCTGTTATGATTTAAAAGGAATTTTTATGACCTGACATTTTCATTTGAGAAGATTTTTTATTTAAAATTAATCTTCGAGCTCCTATTCTTAATTATTTCTTGGCAAGCGATAAATGGGAATACAGAAAATGCCCTATATCAAATTTTAAGCAGAATAAATGCATGCGAATTTTCCAACAGCAATAAAGTGGTTTTTACTTATTTGAATTACTTTACATTGAAATCTCCCGTTTAAGGAGTTTGTGGGAGAGAGCTGAAATTATTGGCCCATTTAAGGAAGCAGCAATTTTACTGCAATGCAGCGTTCATGACACTTGAAAATATCAGGCTAGAGAGAGGGCTTTGCTCCGGCGATTTGAGTGTCTTTCAACAGGTCCCCTCCCGCAGTCCCGGGCCGAGGGCTCCCGCTCGCCCCGCTCTGCTCCCCGCGCGCCGCTGCGGGCCAGCGG